AATCAACACTATCATAGTGTCGCTAGTAGATGAGTATTTTGCTCTGACATTGCATCATTGAGATCAAACTGCTCCGTTTCAGTAAGACTTTTAGATCGAATAGTACAATGACTGTTCTATAGATCTGTAGTGCCGTTTGAGATGCTTTGAATAAAACCAGTGTTTCGCCATCAGAACACGGGAAAAATATTTTTGGCGATATTTTTCTTCTTTTCTGTTTTGTTCCTTAACAGAGCAAACTTATAATTGACTGGTAAAGAAGTCTTGAGATATTTTAACATATTCAAGCTGTTGTGCAGGGGTTCAGCCACAAAACCGACACTTAGGTCGGTCGAGAACTTTTAACATATTCGAATGCTCGAATCGTCGTTGACCTTTGAAAAACGGCCGGTTTCGCAAAAAAAATGCGGAATAGACCAAGGAGTGCCCTGGCTCTTTTTGACTTTGCGAATTTCGAATACGTACTGTCCTCTATATACATATATATATATATATGTGTGTGTGCATTTTGAATTTTTCTTATACGTGCCAGTTTGATAGTACTAGTTATCAGAATAACTACAACTAACAGCAACTATTAATAACTTATGGTTGTGGAGAAAAACGTCTAATACCGGCGGATGGAATTTTCAACAAATCGGGAATGGCGATTCGCTACCGACCCTCTGGTATAGTTTTGAAAACTTTTAATAGATTTTCTTGATTAAAACTTTCTTGAATTTTCCTTTAAGATAGGTGTCAGAGTTTTCCGGAACTGTGTTGTACGCCACAACGCAGCGAGTATGCTATTGAGTGATCTTAGGCACTAAGACATAAATATCTTACGAGGTAATTACACGAGCTGATGGCGCCACGGTTCGAACACACTACTCTGTAGTACGTGCCGAATAGCAGAACCCCCAAGTCATGATGTCTCCGTTCTATTTTTATTTCGAATTTTTTGGGGAACCCTGCCATTTTTCTTACCGCTCCAAATTTTTTTCTCAGATTTTTCATTTCGTTCTGGTTCTTTTTTACCCGTGTTATGTATACCAAGCAAGAGCTCAGGAGTTTCGAACATGCTCGAGTATTCGAAACGTAATCCAAATACATATATGTACCCAAAGTAACAATTCGAAGTAGTAATTTTCAAAGGTCAACAACGATTTGAGTGTTCGAATCCCTATAAAAAAAATCCCAGTGCGCACCGGTGCGCATGGTATGCCATCGGTCACTGGCACTGGCTGACACCGGTGCGCACCCGTGTCCGGCAAGTGGTGATATATTTCTGCACAAAAAGTGCCGCACTAGTAAAAATCAGTGCCGCAGTGAAATTTATTTAATCAATTTAATTAGTTTTTTATTATAGTGGTTTATGCTGAATTTTGTATTAGAATGCGGCACTGATCAGTACCATATTGACATACCAAAACCATGCGGCATTGCCTCGGCACTTCTCTTATGAGAAGGAAAAAATGAAGTCAGAAAGACATTCGAAATATTAGAAGTAGACTGTGGTGTTAATATAGACAGAAATTGACAAAACAAAATGGTGATTGAAAACAAAATTTCGGCACTGGTGTGAGCTTTTTACATTCTTTCTGGTATCGATGCGCATCGGTACTCCGAAAAAAAATTATTCGGCACCGGTGCGCATCCTTGCACAACCAGTGACAATAAAATATTTTTTTGTGGGGATACAGAGACACGTTAAAAGTTCTCGACCAACCCAAGCGTCGGTTCTGTGGTTGAACCCCTGCACAACAGCTTGAATATGTTAAAATATCTCAAGACTTCTTTACCAGTCAATTATAAGTTTGTTCTGTACACAGAAAAGAAGAAAAATATCGCCAAAAATATTTTTCCCGTGTTCTGATGGCGAAACTGGTTTTATTCAAAGTATCTCAAACGGCACTACAGATCTATAGAACGATCATTGTACTATTCGATCTAAAAGTCCTACTGAAACGGAGCAGTTTGATCTCAATGATGCAATGTCAGAGCAAAATACTCATCTACTAGCGACACTATGATAGTGTTGATTTGTATCAGATAATATTACTGATCATTAATATTCATTAGAAACACGCAGTGTGTAAATATTTTTAAATCATTTTACGTAATTAACAAATTGATACCATTGAACGAATCGAACCGAATCGATTTAGGATTCAAAACAGTCGTCCCGAACCGGGTCGGATCGAATCGAATCAGGAAAATATGATTCGTTTCGGGCTCTGCTACCTTCAGCTTGTACAGTTCTCGATTCGTTTCATGAATGCATTCATGTCTATTTAAAATTCATCGAAGAGATTTGAAGGAGATCGATCGATATAAGGTCCCCATAAAGTGAACTTGTTCCGATTGATCCAGTCGTGTATTCAATATTACAACGGATGATGAATTATGGTTCTCTCATTATACTTTAGAAACAAAAGAGCAACTAAAAGTTCGGGTATCACAAACTGATCCCAGCCAGCTAAAATTCATCGTGATAAAAGCTCAGGCAAAAGAGTGGTGGCTATTTTTCCTGAAATCTAGTTTAATCAAGTCCGTGGCATTAGAACTTGATGAAACAATAAATGCAAGTTGGTATGTCAATAATTGTAACATAGAGCGCATGTTACCAACGAATTTTTGGCAGAACATCATGTGTCATATCCAAATTCACCAAATTCTTCAGATGGACGTCTGCGTAAGTTCTTTTTGTTTTCAGAACTCAATAATCAAATACGTGGTATTCAATTCGATGATAACAATGCAATGTTGAATGCATTAGAATAAGATACCGACAGCCTCATAAAAGAAGATATAAAAAAACGGCGTCGGTGGCTGGTTTATTCGAATGTAGAAATGCGTGGATGTTGAACGACAGTACTTTAAAAAATTATACTAGAATCAGCTTTTGAATATTCGTGTAAAGAAGGCGAAAAAACGCCAGGGGAAGAGAGAGTTTGGAGTGCTCCTTATAAATTTCATTTTCTAATAGGATAATAAAAGCAAAATTGAATACAAATTAGTTGATTTGAGAAAGTTTTTCAAGTGCTATTAAATGAGCATACTTTTTATGTGTTCACACTATGAGTATGCAACAGTTACGGTTAACTGTAACTGTAAAAACTGCGGAACTGTAAAACTGCTATAGTGAAAAACTGTCACAGTTAAAACTGATAAATTGATAATCGAAACTGATCATAACTGTCAGAAAAAATTTATACGAGGGATGGAATATCGAAAAAGAAAATCTATGTATTTTGCTCAGGATATTGTGATATGTTCTTTTATGGGTTTTCTGAATAAACTCTAGTTTTCATCCAATCACATTACAACTCCTTGAAAAAATAGTCCCATCGAGCTCAACTTTTTATCACAGATAGTGCAAACCTCATCTCATGTTCCAATTTTTTTTCAAAAAATATGCTTTGCTTCGAAAAATGCTAAAAATCCTATGTTAAAAGTGTTCAAAAGTCGGTCTTTGATTTTAAAAACCTTTTCAGACCGAAAGATCAACTTGAGAACGCTTAAAAAAATTTAGAACCTGATAGAGTATGAAGTATCTGTGATAAAAAGTTGAGCTCGATGGGACTATTTTTTCAAGGAGTCGTAATGTAACTGGATGAAAACTAGAGTTTATTCAGAAAACCCATAAAAGACATGACACAATATCCTGAGCAAAAATACATAGATTTTCTTTTTCATGTTCTATCTTTCGTATAAGTTTTTTCCGATAGTTATGATCAGTTTCGATTATCAGTCTACCAGCTTTAACTATGATAGTTTTCCACTGTAGCAGTTTTACAGTTCAGCAGCTAGTTCAAATTTCGCAAACGTTAAAGAGCAAAAACGGTTTAATAATTTTACCGATAGAATTGCCATCACAATCGTTACAATTAATTTTCTAAATTATACCAAACAAGCGACCATTATATAAATAATTTTTATTTGGAAAACGTTGTTTAATAGTGATCGATGTTTTATAAATTATATATAATTTATTCACATTTACAGTATATGAACAAAATATAGATGAAAAATATACACTAATTGAATTGAACAAATTGCATCCTTGTATATAATTAAGTTTTAGCTTACGCCCTTTAAGTACTGTTACTAATAATGATAACTAAAGTATTTTACATGGTCAAATTTCAAAACAAACCTAACGATTTAAGACGTAGTGAACGAAAAGCTAAATGTAATTTAAACTTCATTAGTTGAATTAGTTTTAGACTATAAATTTAAATCATCATGAAGTGAACATGTTTTTACAAACTGATTATTCTATTAATTTAAATAAAATAAATATATTAGCTCATGATAACAAAAATTATAGATTGTTAGTAGGAGAATCTTTAATTATAAGAGAAAATTTTCCAGTTTGATGGAACAAACAGATCAGTACCACTTTCTGTATTCTATAATTGTCGGTGTATGTCATGAATTTTATTTTATATAGATAGATAGACTTCTTTCTAACTTTATTAATACGTACATTGTGAGTGTTAAGCTCACGGTACAATATATATAAAATATGTATTTTTTTCTGATGATGAGTTGATGACTCGAATTGTTAGGGTATAATTTTTAAATAAATAAATTATCATAAATCTACACAAAGTCCTGTTAGCTTACACATCCTTATTTAATAAAAATTTTACAGCTACCTTTAAATTATGAGAAGCTGCATGATAAAAATAATAGCTAATAATTTAATATTGAAAAATATACCATACAATATACAACTTTACCAAATAAGATGAATCAAAGATCGAGGATTATTGTTTTTTTGAACGTATACAAATTCGTCGATTTCATTATTGAAACTGGCCCCTTGGAAAGAGATAAATATCCATATAACGTGACTAATGTCACGGAATCTTAAAATCTAAAACGTACTAACTTTCTAACAGTCTCATACTGTCATTCCATCGCCATAGCCACTGACAACTGGTAGTATATTTGGCTTTTGCCAACACATTGGACACAATTGATTACGTATTGATGATGATCGCATCCAAATAATTAGATTATATCGTTGTCCAGATTCAATCGGTTCCACGCCATGCAATTGTATACTTCGATGAAAAACGCCATACGTTGGCTTATGTTCAACGCCTTAAATAAATAAAATAACAATACAATCAAGAAATAACGCGCACTGTTCTATATCTTATTCAGACGTACATGTAAAGTTTGGATCTGAAACTCGATCAATATTCGCCAGTGGGCCAAAGTAAAGCGAGCCACCTTCAAAATTTCCTCCTGAAATGAAAGAAATAAGTATTAAGTATAAGTATTAATGAGTATAAGTATATACGTTATGTTTGGATATGTATTAGGCTACCTAGGATAAGTTGGATGGGCTGAACAATAGAGGCGAAATGCACATTTGCATTTCATCAGATGATGAATGAATGGAACCTCAAGTTTACTTTTGGACAATCCAATCTTAAAGTAAAATTATTTGAAAAATTATAGTCCTAGTGCTCTACTCTATCAATGTGTAATATTGTTTTGTGTTTTGATCTCTTACTCTTTTAAGACTGCTGTATATTACCTAGTGAAATATTTAATGTTACTTCAGCATTATCATAATGATAGCCAAGATCAACATCGTGCCCAATTTTATATGTGACAACAAATGCTTTATGAGAATCGAGACCACTAGAACCAACATAGTCTTTTCCATATAATAATCGAGCGAATTCATTCAAATAATTAATACGTAATTCGTCAATAAAATTATTAAAACCAATCTCGTCGAGAAGAATCTAAATAAAAATAGCAGATATTTATATTTGATCTATCAATTTTTCGTAGAATATTTGGTATAAGCTTTATTCTCTCAGAATACAAGCGGAAAAATATTCCACTATAGTATTCTAAACTAAAACTATCGAAGAACACAAAATCAATTTTGTACGAATAGAGATTCGAACATGCATTTACCTGCAAAACTAAATTAATTAAGTAGTAATTAAGTTTTTAGTAGAATACTTACTCCATAATTATTCATCGAATTTGGACGTCCTTTTGGAAGATTCGTATTTTCAAAATGTTTGAGTTCATCGATAAATCTTGAACAAAAATCGGACGTAAAAATGGGTAACGTATATATCTTGTCTAAATAAGACAAATTCATATACTAACTAATGATACGCAATACTCAATTGATAGCATATTTACCGTTAAGTTCTACGAAAGATTTATTCCATGTATTTCTTGGTTCATTTAGGTTTTTGCATAACTCGATAAAATCGTCTGACAAATATTCAGCCTAAAAAGCAAAGTCAGAAAGAAGTTTAAATCGTAAGCCACGAAAAAGTACTTTTCGCAGAATTTTTCAGAGACTTTATTCATGTACTTTTGTTTATCTATCTTTTCTTGCGTGATATGGTGCTTGAATAGATGAATCAGTGGAGAAGTTTTCAAGACATTTGTATACTTTCCATATCATGTAGAAGCATATCGGCACTAAATGGAAAGTTTTGTAGAAAACTAAAATTTGTATCTTTTGATTATAAGAAGTACATTCTCAACAGATCACAGAATTATTTTTTTCGAGTGCGATAACATAGAGAGTTTAAAATATCGAAGTAGCAAACAAATGTGAGTCATAGATCATGCTGGTAGTAATAAATAAGGATGTTCGGTTCTCGGTCCTGGAATAAAAACCGGGGTTCCGGCTCTTGAGTAAAACCCCTTAGCTTAGAACGGGAAAATAATTTTCAAGCAGTAGTAATCCGACGAAACAGAATTCATTTGGTAGTAAACGAAAGGATTCTTTCAAATAATGACAGGCAAATATATCTTTTTGTAGCTTTGTCAATAGTGTGTTTTCATCTTGTTAAAAGAAAGGCAAGTCAAAAAGTCTCAATTCCGAAAAAAAGGAACCGTTTAAGAAACCGCGGTTCCGGTTTCTAATGAAGAACCTGAAACAAGAGAATCGAGGTTCCGGTTCCATTGTCAGAACCGGTAGCGCAGTTTCGATTCCCGATGAAGAACCGCGGTTTCGGTTCCTCATGAGGAACCGAACTGAGGTTTCGGTTCTTCACAAGGACCGAGAACCGAACATCCCTAGTAATAAACTGAAAATTTCAAAGGGAAAAACCGGAACAAAAAAGTCTTTGTACGTAAAAATCAACTGAAAAACAGAAAAAAATTTGAAGTAGGGAGTGGAGGATAAAATATCGGTGGTTTCTGTAGCCTGAAATTTTCAAGTTTAGTTTTGAATAGTCAATCTTAAAATTTTGTCGGTTTCGAAAGTTCATTACCTTAAATGTGTACAAATCAGGATATAACGGTTTGTATTGTTTAACTATAATATCTTTTCGTAAAGATGCATCATGATCAATGTGTTTACGTCGTTCAATTTCAGCATAAATAGTTTTTAAAACATAATCAATATTAACATCACGGGACTTTTGCTCTAAAATCTGAATTTTAATTCTTTTTGACTAGAATTTGGCAAAAACGATCGTCAATTTTACTCACACTTTTATAATCATTTAAAAATTGATCGTGATTTTCAAAATGTACATGTAAACGGTAGTCTTCCAAGTAGATGTTACTTTTGAAAAAACAACTACAACGACCAAATAATTTTGTGAAAGCCATAGTTTTAACAAGAAAAATGAGATAAAGAGAGAAAATATAATTAAATTGAATGAAAATCTGAAATATACGTATGAAGATGTTTATGATTGCTCGATTTTTTGACGGGAAAATCAATTTTTCGCTATTTAAAAATGAAACTTTTTCTTCATAGGCCATTCATTCTAGAACTGTTCATTCAATGAAAGAGCTGAGTTTGGAACAATTCTGATCCAATTATGAACGTTTTTGTTGATTATTATCGAAATAAAACATCTCGGTGCGAATAACTTTGAACTTTCTAAAAAGCAATTGATTATTTTTGCGTCAATAACTCTCTGAGAATCTCACCAATTTACACGTGGAAACGATAGCCTTCAGCATATTTATTAACTGTAGTGGTATATTATTCTTTACTTTTTTATCTTTTAAGTATGTATATTTTCAGAATAAGAACAAGAACAATAAAGTTGAATAAAAACAACAACAACAACATAGTTTTTTTTTCTCTAAACAAAATACATAAGACATACAGAGAGGAGGAAAAAAACAGTGGTCTCTATTAACCGATGGATATTGTGACATTTATGCCTAAGTTTCCATTTTCAGCAAATAACGATGCGCTTTCGAATGAAAATACCAGACAATCACTGTTCATAATTGCATTTTGAATCCCATCATGTATAGACTAAGAAATTAAAAAATATCGTAAGTATAGTGAAGAGAACGATGATAGAGGATATTTTAATAAAAATAATTCACTTACTCGCGGAGTTGCTTCCCATGTTAAACGTCTTTTACTACCATTTAATTCTAGACGGTAAACAAATTTTTCTGCTTGTTGTCTTGTACCAATTAATTGTACAATAGCAAAAAATTGTTGGTTTCCTTCATATTTTTCTTGCTTTTCTAAAACTAACATAAAATGATGGCCAAAACAAGATTGCATCATGACCTAAAATGAAAACAACTATTTACTTGTGAAAGACAGAATGAAGGAGAAAACATTGACTTACCCAGTCAACCGCTCCTGGAAGATTGATGTCTGTGGCTAAGAAAACAATATCTTCTCCCTGAAGTGTGGTGATGGATTTATGAGTTAACCATAAATGTTGCATGACATGTTCTAATGAACCTTGCCATTTACACGATGCACCAGGACACGGACATAAATACTAGAAAATACATAAACCATCAGTTTGTTTTAAGTTCAATCATGTGCAACAAATTACCGGCCTAAAATCACATATATCTTCGTGCTCTAATTTGTGTTTATGTATCAAGTTCAATAAACATCCATTTGTCTGATATTTACACGGAAATAATATAGTATCTGCCACTTTTTCCATACCCAAATTTCGAATATTACCTAATGGACCTCGACATGTTGGACAAGACGATAATTTTTGTCTACATTGTGTGCACACGATATGACCACTTTGACACTGCAATATCGGTGGCAAAGCGTAATCAAAACAAATTGGACATTCAAACAAATTTACAAGTAATTGTTGATGTGTATCTGCAGTGGATCCTGAAGATGAACCCGTTTGCATCAATGATGTCGTTGTTGTAGTTGTTGTTGTGATTGTTTGTTGTTGACATGTAGATGATGACGGCGATGTGAGATTTATTGAACAAGTAGTCGTTGAAATGTTGTTATTTGACGGTGCTATGGCTGCCGCTTGACGATCGTGCATCATAAATGTTGTCGCTGAACCGTTTGTTTTCATCATGACAGAAAAGTCAGTATAGATAGATGGAAAAAAACACAATCGAAATGGAAAAAAGTAAACTGAAAAACAAAAATAAATATTTTTTATCAACTGTACATTTAATGCTCGTAATAGACAATAATTATCGACGTATTCACTGTTTGTTTGATAAACATATGAGGAAAATAAAAATTTTAGATTGTCTTCTTTGCTTTTTGAATCTCTTCTCCTTGCTTTAATAATGATACAAATACAAAACACAAAGAGAAATAGATATACTATCGTTTGAATATAACTTGATCATCTGATTTTAACCATCGAAATTTTACAAATAATAATAAATTAATCGATGAAGAATACTTGTCACTAAACGCCATCACTATTCGTCTAAATAAAGAAAATAAATGACACTACTGTATAGCAGATGAAGAAGTTTATTAACGTTGATCGAACGTTTATTGAGGAAAGATGATGGATGACTTTTCAACCGATAAGTCAAGTACATACTTAAAAATTTGGGGTGTTTTTAACTGTTCTGAACGCTGTCAAGAGTTTAAAACTCAGAATTTCTCCAACTCTAGCTTTCCACATCATATAATCTCACCCGTGCAAGAGAACAAAGATAGTCCTTCAACATGTTCAGATAGAAGCAGCAATCAGCTGACAACAAATACAAAATTTTATTTTATAAACATAAAATTAAATTAGAAAATTAAAAAAAAGAGTATGAGTTGTACCTCAACAACGTTGTACGATTTATATAATGAGAGTTTGAGACTTTCGTGTTAACCGTCATACACTACCATTGCTCTCGAACCGAAATTCATTTCTCCTGCTTTGAAACGTGGTGAAAAACTTTAAAATTCAAAGCTGCACAAAAACATATTAAGACAAAAAGCGTGTGGTAAAAGACCAAAGATGACAGAAACAGAAAAATCAATGCAATGCAATTAAGGTACTCCAAAAAGTTTGAAATTTCATACCTAATAAGCTGTCAAGTTGTACACTTCAACTATTTGAATAGAAGTTTCCATCTGAAATGACTTGAAGCATAATGAAAGAATTTAGTTCAATGGAATTTAGTATCTCTAATTTGCATCTCACTACGTTTTTGTAAAAGGAAATGACCACAAATTTTATACGTGTAAAGCAAAAAAGCGATTTTCAACGAATGACATGTTCTTACTAATAGACAAACACGAAAAATACGCTAACATAAGGCCTTAAAAACATTCTTTTTTCTTTGCAAAAAAGAGATGAGCCGATCATCTGTAGTTGCGATATTGAGTTACATTACTTTTCATTTATACACAAAATTAAGATAACCATGAAAGGTATCTTTCATCATGTTGACCTCTAACTGGATGTAAAGCGGCGCTACTCTCTTCGCCAATATATTTTCACTTCTGATGAACCAACCATGAATAGTATCTAATAAATTTTCTTCTGAACGGTCTCGAATTATTAAAAAAATACTATAGTTTCAAATAACGCTGAAAAATATGTATTAGAGTGGAGAATACACTGTCTATTTCTATTGGATGCTAAGAATCATTTTTTTCTCTTTGCTTGAAATGAAGAAGAATCCATACTGCGAAGACAAAACTGCATGTGTTCATACGGGACAAGATCAGAAAGATTAGGATTAAACTAAGTTAAAATGTGTCGTGTGATTGTGGCTTACGCTCGTCTGCACTCGCTCGGTCTCTTGACTTTACGAACTTATATCTGCGAACGACCTTCCACTTTGAAGCACAGACAACGGTCACACCTGCTTTCGGTTGGTGTGCTAGGGGACCATCCAAAATATGTTATGAATGTTTTTTCTGATTCGATATGTACGCTTTGCTAATCTAATATAAATCTAAACAGTTTTCTCGAGACTTTTTAGACACAATCTGAAGATTTCAAGAGGGCTGGAAGTATTTCTGATTGATTGATAGATTATTTATATTCTGTAAGTTTTATTATTTATACTACAGCTGTGTAAGAGAACTTTTGTGCTATCAAAGTTCGACTGATTTCTGGCGGCATCTGTCCCAGGACTAGAGAAAAGGTTTGCTTAGCTTTTTTTTCTGCGCACTAGTAGATATTTCAGGTCATCTCTCTGAATATTTTTTTTCTGTCTTGTAGTTAAGAAAAATTTTCTGTTTTTCTCCGTCATGATTGGCTTATCCCTGGAATATCTGACGTCAACAGGTGGCCCACGCATTATGTGTCGCTAGTTGATCGGAATATATCAAATTAGACAAAGTAGCGGTTGTATCTTAAAAAACTAAATATAAACTCTCAACATTTCCAGATCCCAGGTGTATAAACAGATCTTGGTAGGAAATGCCAATGGTCAAAGCAAGGCATCCATTAGCTTTATCCATAAATATCCACTATCAACGTGAAATTTCGAAATTTTGCGGCGATTGTGGCGTTTATGAATAGAAATGTATGGAGGCCTTGGCTTGACCAATGTCGATAAAAAAAGAGCAAAACGTCGAAGAGGAACATGTGGAAGAAGAGCAAAATGCTGAAAAGGTAAACGTCAAAAATGGGAGTAAGGTCTCCAAAAATAAGCTCCTGATTCTCCCAGCTCATGGTGAAGTATAAATAATTGATGAGCATCACTCATTAAGTTTGCCTAAACGTTACATTCACTGTAACTTTCTCAGACGTAGGCGGAAAAAAATAGAAATAAGTCATCTAAGTCGGTTAAGAAAGCTTCTTCAAAGAATACATTTAATAGCAGTTTTTGGAGAAAGCAACACTTTAGTATTCGAAAAAACCAAAGTCGGAGTAAATCATCCCTCAGGTTTCTCCGAAATTCGAAGTAAATCGTCCTTATCTTTTCTCAAATTACGAGTAAACCGTTCTTGATTTTGTTCAAAATCGGAGTAAATCACTCTCCGAGTTTCTCCAAAATTGGGAGTAAAGGGCCCATGACTTCCTTCAAAACGCTAGTAAATGGGTCTTGATTTTGTTCAAAATCGGAGTAAATCACTCTCCGAAATGAGAGTAAATCGTTCATATTTTTTTCACAAATTGGGAGTAAATTTGACCAAATTTTTTAAAAAAGTGTGAGGAGGGTGCCCCCCCTCCCCCCATTTTTATTATTGGTTCTCGTCAGACTAGTCAGGCTTTCGAAACCTTGTAGCAATAATAGTCACTCATTGAAAAAGTAAAGTATCATGCAGTTCAGTATGTCTGTCACGATGAAAGCCTTGCCCTCATCCACCCACTTCACGCATCACTATCCAACTTTTCGATATTTTCCTTCTTCCCCTTATCCGTTTTCGACGTTTACCTTTTCGGCATTTTGCTCTTCTACATTTTCCTCTTCAACGTTTAGCGCTTTTTTTATCGACATTCTCCTTTCCGACGGTTTCCATTCGCCGTTTTCCGTCAAGTCCTATAAAAAGATAAGTATCTATGCACTTCCGCTAAATTGAAAATAAATTACATCGCTCGTAGCTCGATTTATGCACTTGCTGATCTCATTAAATACGCATTCTCCACCCGATTAGAGCATTCTGGCACTTCGGGCTTGCTTTTAATATGCGGGCACTTGCGAACTCAATTAAACTTATGAATTTTTCATATCTTTTAAAGTTCTGCGACACTAGAATGTCTGACTTTCACAGTATGTTCAAAAATCAGGATATATGGACAAGAATGGCGAAAAGCATAGAATTTGCATGTAACAGAGGACGGTTTCTGATTATCTATGGACTTAAAGGAGTTAAAGGAGAATAGATTTATGAATTAACGGAAAACCAATAATCATTTCTTCTAATATCTTACACGTGAATGTTACGCGAATATGAAGGTGCAGAAAGCTGAGAGTGGTCAAATGAAAGTAGGTACCTAAATCCAAAGTTTGTCCGTAGCGATTTTTGAATTTCGCTTCCGTTTATTCCCGACTCGTATTTTAAGTCAGAACTCTGAAAATAACCCTAAACTCAGAGGGTTATTTCCACTTTTCTCTGCACAAAAAACGGAATTCACTACGGACAACATTTAGATAGATGTTTTAGCTTGAAAATAAAAATGAAGATTTTACGATGGGGGATCGTCTAGGAGCAGTAGCAACTTTGCTGTGGAAAAAACCATATTCTAAGCAATCACTTCATTGATTATAATGGAGCGCCTTTAGTAAAACTAGTGTAACTTTGCAAGACGAAGTCGTACAAACTTGCGAGGGATCTCATTGACTAGAACACTCTGCTCAACATAGCTGCATGTCTGTTAAAACGGACAACCTCAAATTTTAATTCACATGTGATGGTGTGAAGGTGGTTTTTAGGACTTTCAGCAATCATTTTCAAAAACTTCCAAAAACATTGAATTTTTGGCGAAATGAGATGGATTTTGAAAGATGACACTCTGGGATACTGAGCCGTATGGTTACGTCAGATTCGAAGGTGTCGAAGAAAAAATTGAATTTCTGAGGGGGCCTACCTAAATCCAAGCAGCTTTTCTTATCACAGAAACTTACTTTTATAAAAACTGGAAAAACATTCGCGTCAGAAAAATGTTGAAAAAACTTCGCCAATTCGAAGTTTTTTATGGCTACATATGGCAAATCTTGACTACTTTTAGACGTTCTATAGGACGTTTGAAAACACTGTTATGCCCTTTTTGCTTAGGTCTTATAGGTTTGGAGTTAGAGACGTATTTTACTGATTTTGTTCATTTTTGATGATGCTCATTTCTCCATCTGGCTTGAAAATACTTTTAGTCTTCATATACTCTCGCAGCTCTATTTGCCATTATTCATAAAAGCATTGCATTGGTCAGCGACTATTCTTTTAGGGAATTTAAATTTCGATATACTCATTTCCAATAACAAAATATGGTGTGATAAAATGTACACAGCATGGATCGCGAAACAGTGAATAAACTAATCCACAGCGAAGGGGGTTTCTGCTAAATTATGCATTAATGACGTATTATATTTATCTCAATATGTTGTACATAAATGAAAGAAATGTTGACAGTCTTACACTCTTGTTTCTTTTCACTTATACACGAAAATTTTTCTAGAAATTCTCAATTCCGTAACTTCATAATAGATGTGAAATATAACACTTTCTCAGATACTTTTTTCTGATGAAAGACTTGTTTCGTGATTATATAAAACAGAGAAAAACTTAAAGATATATTATTACATTCTTTATCAGAACGGTAGCACTATTCTTCATATTTCTCACTAAATCTCTTTATCTCAAGACAGGGATAGATCAATAAGCTTTTATTTTACTTTATTCTACTGTTTGTTCAATGAAACAGTGGACTCGAGCAAAAATGAAAAGAGCCAGACAGTCTCGATTTTCGCTAAAATCGATAGAGTCGACCGAGTCACGTCTTGTCGTAAGCAAAACAAATTTAAAATCCTTTTCGAATGTAGAATTTTGAGTGGATCATCTTCGACTTATTGACAGAATGGCCTAGTACTCTATTTCATTGAACAAATAGTATTAATAGTTTTTTGTTATCATTTCATCTCACTTTTCTTTACATGATTTTTTTGAATCTATATTGACTCATATAACAAAATTTGATTCGCGCTAACTTTCTCTTTCTCTTCATGAATATTTTTTACTTACATAAGAATATAGTATTACAACATAGATTAGATATTTTTACGCTGTCTTAATTGACTGTCTAAAAAATAAATCAATGGTAGATTTATTTATAGACATAAAACAGGGATTGTTGCGTGGTAACATTATTCTTTCTTAATGTATTTTAAGGTTTATTTTCGAATTTCGGCTTAATACACGCTTCAACTACTGTGTTTTCAACTTTTGACTTTTACCAGATAGAAAAAGAAAGACATAAATAATAACAAACATATACTCACCTTCACACTGTATAGTTGTATCAAAGAAACCGAAAATTCAGAACTGTTAAATGTAGAAACGATTGTAATTCAATATAATCAGATAATCTAACTTAACCACAAGCTATTCTTTGTTCGCTATCGAAACGAATATTGTAATTAAATTGATCCAGAAGACTTATCGTTCAAAAGGGTTACTCAAAGCATGCTGAACGAAAGCACTATTTTAACTAATTGAAATACATTGTATTTTCAGGACAATAAACAGTTATTAAGAGCTCAGTGTATCCTAGTTAATGTACTCATACGATGAGTACGATTTACTCAAAGTATTGTACTGACCTACTCGACGAGTATTCACTGAGTAGATTATACTCATCGAGTACTTGAGTGCTCATATGAATACTTAGGAAATACGCATTCATCTTTTTGTTTTGCAAAGTTGTAGCTATAAAAGATACACAGATTTCACTAGTATAAAAAAAAGTTTTTTTAAAAGTTTTTCACTAGTATTTCTGTCACAATGAGAGATGCGCTCGCCTATGATCGGACTTGTAGCCAAACTTGAGTGTGTTTGATGCTATTTCCTTAAAAGAGTGACAAACGAAAAAGTGTTCAAAAATACTCATGAGTATCATGCAAAATCCCATTTAAATACTTTATAAGTACTCACATACTCATAAAAGTACTCAGTGAGTAAAAAAAATGCATAAGTACCCATTTTCTATATGAGTACGCCTACGAGTACATTGAGTACATTCACTAGGCTACTTATCTTATTTTCTGTCTCATGTGTACAATTCATCTCAGAAAAATGATTTCCTTTCTCATATATGCATCTGGTCTAAGACGAAAGTACTACATTGCAGGTTCTATTTTGACATTTGTTGTGAATGTATTTACTGTTTTTTATCGTACTTGAGGAGTACTATTTAAATATCGTTATCGTCCCTTTCTCAAACGTTCATTTCAATCCCTATCTCGAGCTATCAGCATGACCATCCCTCATAAGATGTATGTAGAAAACAAAAGATCTTATTTTCTTAACTAACCTTACCCTACAATTTAGTATATTTATTCCAGACGTACATATGAAAATTTGCACTTCTTGTTGAATTCGTATGTTACTTCACTTTGTGATTTAGAACCAAGTGGAAAAGCGCGGGTCTCATCATAGACGGTAAGGCGCAGTAAGCATCAGCTATACAACTGATCAGAGCATCTACAAAAATTGTTACAATGGGAATGTTACGAACTCTTCCAAGTTGCCGAACGTCTCACTTCGTAAAGAGCTATTTAGTCTATGTATTTGTCGGAAGAAAAAATGCTTACACTGTAATCTTGAATTAATTTCTGGTTTATGGAAAATCGACTCAATTCGGCGAGGAATTTTCAGTTTATAGAAATTCCTCGAGGAATCTTCAGCTTTATAGAAATTCCATTTGAATTTCTATAGATAATTTCCCAAAATCTGGAAATTCGTTTTTGATTTTCTATAAATTAGAAATTCGTCATCGAATTTCCAGTTTCTTGGGAATTATTTATAGAAATTCGATCGATTTTCTAAAAAGTGGAAATTCGCCAATGAATTTCTAGATCAACCCATTACTTCACCTTTTTGTTTTGCAGTCAGTGTAGATATAAGAGCGTCACGTAAAGACACTCATATTACACTTAAATCAGCTTTGACAGTTTCCACTTTAAATCACAATTCTGCCTATACCAGCAAGAATTTTGATTTTGACAGAGACAGTGGTGGCGCAAAGTTTCACTAGGAAGATCCCAAAATCGGAGACGTTCATCAGAACTTTCTCAAAAGCGTGAGGGGTGGGATCAATCCTAATAGAATCTGGTCGCGCCGCCACCTGGTGCAGACTCATCAAGAAATTTTCAGTTTATAGAAAATCAAAACGGCATTTCTACTTTCTTCGGAATTATTTATAGAAATTCAACGTCGACCTTTCTATAAACTGCAACTTCCTTGGCAAATTTCTAGCAGTTTGAAAACTATTTACGGAAATTCGAGGAGGAATTTCCCGTTTATAGAGTCAAATACAAAGTCGAATTTCCATAAATAAATCCCAAGAAACTGAAAATTCCTTCTTGAATTTCCAGATTCTTGGAAATTATTTATGGAAATTCAAGGACGATTCTCTAGATTGTTGGAAATTCGATTTTCTATAAACTGGAAAATCTTTGAGGAACTTCTATAGATACTCTCTGAAATTCGCCAAGCAGTTTCCATGAATAATTTTCAATCTGACAGTGTAGAGTTAATTGTGGCACAAATATGAGAAATCCAGGATACCATAACTGTACATGATAATTGGTTACCATTTATATAACTGTTTGTGTCTCTTCAATAATTCATTTAAAAAACCTTTTACTCTTTCATTTTTTATCCGATACAAATAGATAGACTCAATACCTCTACAAAATGCGATACTTCACAAGTCAAGGTATACCAATTTTCCAATTAAACTATAACTGTTTTGTTCAACTGTAGGATACTTATATAAGTCGTTTTTGTTTGCAAAGTAGTGTTTTCTTTTCCGCTACCTTTAGAATCACATACTAAAACAGCATAAATACTGGTTCTTTTCTCTTTCCTGCAAACTAGATGCTCATTTTGAAATTCATATTGCCTTTCCGGAAGTCATATTCATAGATTCTTTGACTAACACAGAAATAGAAAGAGTAAACAACGATAAAAAACGAATGCAGAACAAGAAAAATAGATAAAAAATGGTGTGAAAAGAAGTAAATAAACAACAATTTGGGCTAGGTAACAAAAAACTAGTACTAAAACACAATAAAATAACATGAAAAAACAAAACAAAAACAGACATGGAAAAAATCTTCATTCTACATGTTCATCGGTAACAACAAAAAATAGTTTTTGTAATGTTCTGGCAAAACTATTATATTGTTTTGTAAAACTTGTGGGCTTTTTCTTCCACATCACACCAATAATGTAACCTGGTATAGCTGTTGACAATAAAATTAATGACGTGGTAATATTTTCTGAGTCAGTCCATGCGCTAGCTACGATCAATACAATAAGAATAAGGATGAAGAGTATCGGTACAAATAATGGGATACGAATTGGACGGACAACGTCTGGTTGAGTATATCGAAGTACAATGAGTGCGACACTAGCAAGTAATATACCTAAATATCAAATCACACTAGAGAAAGTAAGGCGAATATTTCGAAAATGATTTATTTACCTATCCAATTGATCATACCACAACAAATAATTAAACGATCAATATTTGACATGAAAAACAAGAAAACGAATGAAACGATAACTTCAAATAGCATGGCAATCATTGGTACATTGGATTTATAGTGTTTCATGGCCATAATATGCGGCATAAGACCGTCACGTCCGGCAACGTTAAACATTTGACCGATGGTAAATATATTTCCACTTGCGGCACCAATACAAGACATTGTCACACCAATTGGTATGACATACAAAAGTACCGGAAATACGCGTTCAGAGAATGACACAGCAGTGGCATCCGATATAAGAATCTCATAGGGTGTAAGAGCTGTAAAGTATGAACTAAATGTAAGTAAATAAATGAATATACACAATAATAATGATATAACAATTGCACGGGGCAACGTTTTTGGAGGATTTTTCAAATCATCAATAGCATTATTCAAATAATTCCAACCAGAGTAAGGAAATAAACCAGCATATAATGCTTTTGTTATTTTACTGTAAGAACTATTTTCAAATGGATCACGAAAGTTCTCTGTTCTTCCACGAAATATTTGATAAATTCCGACACCAACAACGATTAATAATGAACCTGTAAAACAGAACAACACTTAAAATCAAAATCCATAGTTACACAACAGAAAATTGTATATACCTATTTTAAAATAGTTGCAAACTGAATGCAAATGATTGGTCCACACAGCCGATGATAAATTAATGGCGGCAACAATTAATAATAGAAACGATGATAAACATTTGACAAGAGATACTGGGGGCGGACAAGTGGAATAAAACCAGTAGACTAGGTAATTTGATGCTGTTAATACACTAAGAACGACGATCATAGGACGGGATAAAACAACTTCGATCCACACACGAACGAAACCGGCAAAATCACCAAATGCTGTTTTTAAGTATGTGTAATCTCCTCCGCTACTAACATAAGCACAACCTAATTCGGCATAACAGAGAGCACCCTAGTTGAATAATGAGATGATAGAATACAACTAAGTAACAATAGGACTGTTATGCCTACCATAATACATAATAGACCACAAAATATCCATACTAGAATCGATAGACCATAACTGCCAGAGTATTCCAGCACAGTTTTTGCACTAATGAATATTCCACTGCCAATAACACATGCCAATAATAAATTAATTGCCTGGAGCAAACCCATGGTCGGCTCCCTTCTTGTTGCTGGTAACTGTTTCATAGTATTGACGTTCAAGTCGCTACCTTTCATTCTTCTCCTAGTAAATCTTTAAATATTGATCACAATTTTGATTTTCGGAGATAAAGGAATTTTTGTTACAAGCATGAATTGCAGTCTAGAGAAAAAATTCTATCAATACCAAAAACGTAGAATGATTTTGCGTAGAAAATTCCTAATTTAGCTAAAAATAACAACAGTTTACATGTATGAGATAATCATTTTCCAGTATATGAGCGAAAGACCGTAAAATAGGCAATATTTCTTTTTAGTTGAACTTTATTATATGAATATGCTCTTTTCTGTCAGTGATATCTATCATTACGACATATATATTTTCGTAACAACAGTCCCACAGTCCTTTTCTCCATAGGATATTTTTGGTACTGTACATTGATATAGACATCATTCTCGTACGAAAAACACAGATTTTGCTGGTAGAAACTATAAAGTACTATAAAAGAAACACTTCTCACCTTATAAAGGATTTTAATAAGTTTAATCAAAACTTTGGAACTCTTGACATGCATTTCTCTTTTCATATAGCAACGGAGCCCTATTCCTTTCGGAAAACTCTTCGAAAACATTAGAGAAACCGGTTAAAATGAAGTCTTTTGCACAAAAGCGAGTTGAGAGAGAAAATTCATCTTAAACCGATCGTTCAAAGTCCTAACAATACTTGTCGCAAACTGTGCCATTTTGTACATCTGTGCCGCATACTAACTTTTTTTTAATAGATTCAACATTAATATAATAAACGTTGAAGAAAGTTTGAGCGGTGGAACAGAGAAAAAGACAGAGGTCTGTTATTTTTCATTTATTATACCTTAATCGAATAGTATTCACCAATGATTTATTTGAATTTTCTCGGCAGAACAAAGATAACAATCTGGCACCACAAAGGCCGTCCAAATAAAAAGTTACTTACGTCTTGAACCTTGCATTCGAATGCGAGTGTGTGTGTTCCTCTACAGATAGAACAGAGTGAAAAAATCCGTACTGCTTACAAATACATATAGAACAGTTACTTTTTACTCCATAGGAAAAAAATGTATGTGTATATGGCACTTTGAAACGAAAGGACTAAAAGAAGAAAAAGTTTCATGTCAGGCTTGTCAGAAACGATCAAGAAAAAAAGAACTCGACCTATTGGCCATGTGCCAGGAGAAGATAAATCATCAATTAAATTTGAGTTAAATGATAGGGATACGATAAAAAAACCAAAAAAAGAAAAAGTCGTACAGTAACAGTAAGATTTTCTATGAACTTTTTTTAATTAAAATAACATTTCTTGACTACGCTACATTTTACACTCTTACATAGGAAGGTTTGTAGGACCTACCAAGAAATCAATGATAGCAGTCGTCTTATTCGTAGTCTACCTAAATTGAACAGAAAAGAAAGTTAAAAGAAGAAAATTATGAATGCACATGTAAACGGCTCGTGACTAAATTGAAAAGAACGATGATTTTTTTCAATTTTGTAGAGTTTTTATGAGATTAATCAGTAAGAGATCAAATCTCTTATAGATAACTTAAACAAAAAAAAGAAAAGAAATAATCGATCTAAATCGTTATTTGTAAGCACACGTTAATTATCGAAATAATAAGTGAACAATCAACTTTTATGGGGTTGATACACATGCATACTGTCATATGAATTTAATCTTTTGTTGTGGTATAATTTTCAGCTGCATGTAAAAGCAATGAACTGTATAGAATAATGAAAATGAAATTATTCAGTGATATTTCAACTTTACAGCCTCTCTATATTTAAATCGTTAAACTAAACGACATGGTTGCTGGACTAAGATATCAAATAATATAAATAGATCTATCCAACCAGTCGTTCGAGGGATACTTCGACTGCTCGAAATTTTTCTCGAGGACTCGCTACCTATCTGAAATCCGAGAGCTCGAAATCGATATTCCTCGAAAGCTTATATCGAGGGTCCGAAGTGCCATTTTCCGAGGGTCTATTTTCTAGTACTCGCCGCACCCCTCGAACGACTTTTTTCATCTGCATGAATAATAAAAAAAACTTTAGATATATTTTTCTTTAACTTGGACACAATCAAACTATCAAATTCCATCGTTATATCTGTGAAATATTGTTAGAATTATTAAGTCATCATTTATCATTCTTTTTACGATGATTATGTAAAATATTTTCGTTTTTTAAATCAAAATTTTATCTGACATTTATTATCTAGCCCAGCAAAAATTTTATGTATCTCACGTCCAGGCAGAATGATTGAATAAAATGTTATAATTGTTATTTGAAATGATATTATTAGGTCACGCTTTATCAATGATAAGACAAAGTGGAATAAATGTAAATATGTTTTTTTAATACAGAAAAAAATGCAATACATTTCTTTTCTTGTCGTGTTTTAACTGCGGATTCGATAAGACAAAACATTTTTAAACGTCTTTATCAAGACAATATGTTAGATCATGATATAAGTTTGATGTAATACAAAAAGCAAAACGAAATATATATAACCAATTTATTAGATATCTTTTCTGTGCTTTTTTTCATATTACACACGTTAGAGAACAGCTGAATTCAGCTATAAAAAATAGATGCACTATATTTTACTTACACGAAGTCGCCATAAGAAAAGCATCTTAAAATATATGTTCAATAAAATGTGTCTGAACGGGTTTTTCTCTTACTTTTACACATGAACACGTCCAGATACAACTAGGGATGTGTCGAACCTCGAACCTGCGTTCGAGGTTCGGCTTCGACCAGTTCGAGTTCGAGGATGTTCGATGCCGAAGTATTGACCTTTCGAACTCGAACTTAAAATTAGAGCTCGAGCTCGAGTTCGACTTTGAGTTATTGTCAACGCAGAGTTAGCACCAAGATTTACTAGATGCGGTTCGCAGAATATGTTTAAAACTTTTTTTTATACAAGTCTTGAGAGATTATAGTATTTCACCTTATGCCCTTCATTCCACGCTGCGGAATGAACTACTGTTGCCCCTTAGAATCAGTAGTTCAAACAGATTCCAACAATGTGTCATTTTATGCTTTACTCTAACTCATTTATCTTCTATGTTGTTTACTCGAACTCGAATGTTCTAACATTTTCGGAGTCGAGCTCGAACCAGAAACGGAATTGTTTAGATCAAATGCGAACGTCAAACTATGGTCGAATTCGAACTTCAAACGTCGAACGTTTGGCTTCGTACCATGCATGGATACAGCTGATGGCAGCGTTCAAACATGTTATATTCCTTGTAGATATTTCAGGGTTTGAGTCTCTCAGCACGCTTAGGTGTGTTCAAAGACTCGGACGCATTCGAACATGTGTAAAATGAAGCATCTAGACAGGCCTGAGCGTGTTCAAAAACTAATCTCTCAAACTTTCATAAAATAGAATTTGTGTTTTGGGCTGTTCACAGTCCATCTACTTAAAGGAACACCCATCCGTCTTTCTCGAAGAAACAAAATGATTCAACTTGCAAAGGTTCTTGCCTCTGACCGTTCTTATTCATGATCGTTCATGCTCATAGACGTCTCCACATTATTTCGGACTACTACAGGTCAGCTAAGCGTTGCTACGCGTCACTGATGTCAAACTTTTACAAGATTTTTTTGACGATCTCATAATATTCTCGTTAAAAAATTAAATCTAAATAACTGCTCCGATAACAATGTTGAAATAAAGCTTTATTATCTGGTAAGCTAGAAAATTTTCAAGGAAAAAACTACAATTAGCAATTTCATCGGGAGAAAAAGCAACTCCAGTTGTATTTTTTTGTGAATAATATTTGGAAAAGGTGCTTGAATTAGGATCGAGCTGTAATGACTTAATACTACGTATGTTTGTTTTCTTCCCAGGTCAAGCAATCCTAATAGGATCCTACTAATAATAGGATTATATAGGATTCCTGTTGTAGGATCCTACGGCAGGAATTCTGTAGAATTCTTGATATAGGACGGTACAAAAATCCTATAGGAGTCCTGTATCTTATGCATTTCTTACAATCCAACGGTAAGATTTTGTGAAGGATTTTGCAGAAATCCTATTTTTTTGTTCTGTATATACTTTTTGTTCTTTTTCTATATAAGAACACAATTACCGACGTGTTTGCAGTAACTCTAATATAAATACAACTCCACTGTCAAAAATAAAAAATTCTTTTAGGCTCAATTTTCGCACCGAACACTGTGAGCGCTTGCAACTCGCTACTGTTCGATGATGTGTAAATTAGTACTCACAAGTTTTAGGCTTTTCCGAGCTCATAATCACCTGATTCTGGCTAGCTAAGATCAGAGAATAATTAAACATATAAAAACAATAAATCTATTTACATTTAAATTTCCTGTTCCTGTTTAATCCATTGTGATTTGCATGTGATGTTTGCACGCACATTTATGATTGAAAATGAACGGATTTGGCACGAAAACAGACAACAAAGGGCGGCATACAACAGCTACAGCAACCAGCAGAAAATCAGATAAAATCCTACTGAAATCCTACAGTAGCATCTTGCAAGATTCTACAAGATCCTATTACAGGACCCTATAAGAATCTTACAGTAGGATTTTTGACCTGGGTCTCTATTCGTACACGATTCGAGTTTGTCGCACGCATAGTTTCTGAACACGCTGGAATTCGTTTATAAACGAACGCGATTAAACCCGTCCCGATATATTATTTTCAACGCGTTCAGCAGCTTTCGTTTTTCTTACGCATACCAATGGGGAAATTGCGGACTTTAAAGTTCTCTCAGATCTTTTAAAGTCCCCAAAGTTCGCCCAAGTCGACGGACTCTGGGGCCTCTAAAGTTCGGTAAAGTCTCCGTAAGTCCTACCAAGTCCACTCAGATCTTTTAAAGTTCCCACAGTCCGCCGACCTAAGTGGACTTTGGGGACTCTAAAAAGTAAGCTTGGTAAAGTCTCCGTAAGTTCGATCAAGTCCTCCCAAGTCCGGTCAAGTCTAAAGTCCGCAA